CGTACAAATTCGAAGTAATTAGCTTAATAATGAGTGTTTAATGCACACATCTTAATTTGCTTGAAGTCATCTAAGAGACCTTGCATTGCTCCCGAAGTGGGAGCTCATGTTTTTGATGACGACTTGAATTGATACTCGACTGACATTCAACATTGATCCAGATGTGCATGAGAAGTTCATCAAACTTTCCACTGCAAGACACGACTGTTCAGCCACGAGTTGCGATCCAGTCAAGTGTACATACTAGTCGGTAGGGAAAGTACAATCGACAACTGCAGAGAACACACACCCTAGCTAACAGCTATCACCAAATGTGTTGCCAAGTCATTAACTGTAAAAACAAACAAAAAACCCACACGAGAACGAGTTATGCAGCAACTATCCATGACTGTAATAAGATTCTAAACGACTTGAATTGATAGTGCGATAATAGGGCACAACACTAACAGGCTACCGAGACAATGCTCGTGTGTTTTCAGCTCCTATTTTTTACATTAATTTTATTACTGGCTCAGTATCCGAGTTTGCATTATTAACTTGTGATATGTTTGTTTTCTTTCTGTGTAGTGTGCAACTGTTCGCCGCTCGGGTCCATAAGCGCAAGCTGCAGTGCAGACTCGGGAGAATGCCAATGCCGACCGAACTATGAGGGTCACAAGTGTGACACATGCATCAGTCGTTCCCACTTCTACACGACGAAGAATGGTTGCCAAGGTAACTTAGTCTCGCGTGCACACAGGGACATTTTGAAATCTGGTTATTACGATTCTGTTGCAATTTCAAGAGAATAAAATTTCTCAAACAGAATTCAACTGTGCAGACTGGGTTGAAGGTTTTGCCAGCATATCTGTAGGATTAGATTATTTCATACAGTGTGAATGGCATTACTCAACTGCAGAACTGTGTATCTCACTAATTTGCCCTGGGTCGAATAGGGTGTAGCTTGGGTTAGCTGAATACTATGAGTGTGGGGTTTAACAACCTTGTACATGTCAATGACCCTGGCAGGGTGTGTGAGCCACTTGTAGAAGCCAGGCTTCATTCTAAAATTTGTCGTGAAAGTGGTGGGAGTTTCGTGTGTTGCTTGTCTGCGTCCGCATACTCACAAGCACTCTCTTTCATTCCTTCACAGTCAGCCAGTCCTATTACAGTTTTCCCTTTCTAATCCAGCACTTCATAAACCAGCACCCTCGATAAACCGGCACAATTGTCCAGTAGCCAAAATGTCCTCTTCATGCACATTGCAGCAGTATATCTGAGCACCCTCCCTACTTCAGCAGATTTTCCGTGGCACAAATGGTGCCGGATTATACAGGGACCACTGTATCTACCAATATGTGTTTGTTTTATACTCATAATTATGGCATATTATGCTTTTGATAACCGCAATCAATAAAACTAGCTGAGCCGACATTTGTGTACTTTATTCATGCAATGTAAAAAAAACGGTGGAGACGATGTGCAATAAAACGATGAAAATATGAAGAAATGGTGTAGGGAAAAAATATGGATTCAAACAAGTTTTCGTACAACACTCATCAGGAATCGTCGTTGTACTAAAGGACACTGAAACAAAAATTGAACTATTATAGAAAATCTAAGTTAGAGAAATAACACTAAGAGCAACAACAGTGAAATTTACAAGTGTGAATTTTAACAATCAAAGCGAGAACTGAACAAAGGAGAAAGGAAGGAAAGACAACGCGATAACACATAACAGCAGTACATTACACCTAGAACATTAACGGCCAAGCTTGGCCGCACTAAACACGACACGTTACTTGAACAATTTCAAACCAATTATACAATCTTTCTGTACACACAAATTAGGCTTATACAGACGCTGATAGATAGCTTCCAACACTTTTAACTGTAGTCCATAACCATGACGACCACGGCACAATACAGTGAACGAAGAGTCGGAATACGCAACGCAACAATCAGGACTAGCCAGCAGATGATTGTACACTGAAGACTTGCTACCACGAAACCTACGCACAACACTAACACTCTCACCGGCACTCTCACCATCACTCCCATCACTGCTCTCCGACTCACTGCTCCCTCCGCCGTCCGTTCCATCCTCCGCTTCCTCTGTACTCTCTCTGTCTCGTCCATCCCGCCTGACCGGGTCCATTGAACTCGACTCGGCCGTCCCCCTGCTATCACGTCCTTCCTTTCGCCCTCGTCCGCTGAGTGCATAGCTTCTGTTGTAGTTGGCTGTTGATCGTCTTGGTCTTTCAATCATGGGCTTGGATGGTGGATTAGTTGTGGTTGCTGTAGATTGCGTTGTTGGTGTTGGTGTGGGAGTTACTGATATGCAAGGTGGGTCGTTTTGAGTCGGCATGCACTGACGAGTGCCCCCGGCGGCTTTGGCTGAGGCGGTGCCGCTTGCGGTCCCGGTCCCACTGCCTCCTCCTGATCCTCCGCCATCGGTTCTTGCGGCGGTGGAGCTTGCCAGTGGCAGACCGCGAGCAACACTGACAGCTGCATTAACACTACAAACGCCGACTCAAAAAGACCCACCTTGCATATCAGTAACTCCCACACCAACACCAACAACGCAATCTACAGCAGCCACAACTAATCCACCATCCAAGCCCATAATTGAAAGACCAAGACTATCAACAGCCAACTACAACAGAAGCTACGCACTCTGCGGACGAGGGCGAAAGGAGGGACGTGATAGCAGGGGTACGGCCGAGTCGAGTTCAATGGACCCGGTCAGGCGGAATGGACGAGACAGAGAGAGTACAGAGGAAGCGGAGGATGGAACGGACGGCGGAGGGAGCAGTGAGTCGGAGAGCAGTGATGGGAGTGATGGTGAGAGTGCCGGTGAGAGTGTTAGTGTTGTGCGTAGGTTTCGTGGTAGCAAGTCTTCAGTGTACAATCATCTGCTGGCTAGTCCTGATTGTTGCGTTGCGTATTCTGACTCTTCGTTCACTGTATTGTGCCGTGGTCGTCATGGTTATGGACTACAGTTAAAAGTGTTGGAAGCTATCTATCAGCGTCTGTACAAGCCTAACTTGTGTGTACAGAAAGATAGTATAATTGGTTTGAAATTGTTCAAGTAACGTGTCGTGTTTAGTGCGGCCAAGCTTGGCCGTTAATGTTCTAGGTGTAATGTACTGCTGTTATGTGTTATCACGTTGTCTTTCCTTCCTTTCTCCTTTGTTCAGTTCTCGCTTTGATTGTTAAAATTCACACTTGTAAATTTCACTGTTGTTGCTCTTAGTGTTATTTCCCTAACTTAGATTTTCTATAATAGTTCAATTTTTGTTTCAGTGTCCTTTAGTACAACGACGATTCCTGATGAGTGTTGTACGAAAACTTGTTTGAATCCATATTTTTTCCCTACACCATTTCATATTTTCATCGTTTTATTGCACATCGTCTCCACCGTTTTTTACATTGCATGAATAAAGTACCCAAATGTCGGTTCAGCTAGTTTTATTGATTGCGGTTATCAAATTGTTGTCTCCTCGCCACGTGTTTAAATATTATGCTTTTGCCCATAATTATGGCATATGCTTGGTGTGTTGTACAAGTGTCACATCGTTTCTTCTTCACTCTTCACATTTTAGTTTTTGCAAGGAGTTCTCTTGCTATTGTCACCTAGTAATCTCGACTTTCGTCTTACAAGCTTCTAGAGTGCATTCATGCATGTGTACAAATCAATAATGCCAAGAGTACACACACTTGAGAGGGACGAAAAGCGTTTCTTCTGTGTGTGTGTGTCTTCTGCTTTTCGTCCCTCTCAAGTGTGTGTACTAGGCTCTGCACCTTGGTGTATTGAGCACTCTCACGAGCAACCACAACTCACTCCGAGTAATGCCAAGAGTAGATAAACAAGAGTGGGCAACTCCGAATCTCTCCTGCACAATTTGCAGATACCCCCGCCCACGGCGGAATTTTTTGTTGTCTCCTTTTTCAGAGAAACGCGCATTTTGCCGCAGAGCAGTGTGAGAGCACGTGCGGGGCACCGACCTTATAGTTTAACGCCCGACCAAGAGCACGAGGGAAAACTTTCCGAAAGACTCGCAGCGCGGGCGTCGTCGAAAAGAATACGTCAACAAAAAATTCCGCCGTGGGCCTACCCATTCGCGAGTTGCACACCAGGCTCTTGTTTATCTACTCTTGGTAATGCTTATGGCACGATTTACTAGTATCCTTCTTGTTGCGTCCTTGAAAGGTGATTCTCAAAGATAACGACTGTTCACTTGGCTGTTCTGTTTGCTGATCCTAATTGCAGAGCTGGCTTCACAACTCTTTAAAGTCAGCGCTGAAACCTTGGTGAATGCTACCAGATTGAACCTGAATCATCCGTTTGTATTCGGCTCAAAGTTTAAGTCCGTCAAGGACGTCACGGTAAGTCTATGGATGAGTATGTTTCTATCCTTTACCAATTTTCCTCCCACTCTTGAGGAGATGAAACATTTTATAATTTACAAGTAAAACCTGGGAGAGTCATGAGTTAAAACTGTGTAAACTGCAATTGGCACCAGTCCAAAATATACGTGTCACCTGGACAAATAGCAATAAGGAAACCTGTGTAAAAAAACACAAAACAGGAGAAACATGAGGACACACGTGCAATGGAAAGTCTCTTTACTCCAGTCCCAAATGCTTGCCGGCAATGTAGGTACCAATTGTGTTTGACTTGTGAAGGGGCTTAACAGAAATATTGTTATAATGTGATGAGAGATGAAGCCGCCTTGACAGCTGTTTTCTCGTGGGCAATTAAATGACTGACGGATGTTATACTCATAGCTTAGAGCTATTTTCTCTTCCACCTAGATATAATTATCAGAAGTCGAGACTGCGTGTTGTAGGACGCCTTCATCACGAATGCCGCCCAAGTGGCTACTTCGGGTTTCAGCTCACCCTGTGCTTCTTCTTACCCATGGCTAGCAGCAAATGTGTGAACTGAGCAAGAAGAGCACACGGGAAGCCCACTGTGCATTGAGCAGGGCATGGTGCTTTCTCGCAGGTTTGGCGAGTGGAAGGTGCAACGTGCTCCTCGTGTGTTCCCGTGGCAGTCGTGAGTCAGTCAAGTGTCAAGTGTTGCCAGAAAGCATGTATTCCTCCTAGGAACAACCAACCTCAGCACTTAGATATACTAATAGATGGTCAAATTCGAGTGGGGTTATACAGAGTAAACCCATGTTGAAGTTGGGCACGGAAATGCATAATATTTATTATTGATGACATCATCAGCTCTGCAGGATTAGTTTAACGTCTGTGTGAAGCATGTGTTGGCCCACAAGAAACATCCCATTAGCATGTTTGGTTCGTTTATGCAATATTTCCAAGATTTTTCCCTGTTTATTGTTCTTTATGTACAAACACAGCGGGCATAGTCTGTTCCATTTCCGCTTCGCAGAACATTGTATAAGCATGGAGGAGGAAGACATACATGTCCATGTAACACAGTATGTTAGAAAGAAAGGCTAAGCTGCATGTTATTCTTGATGTGACGCGCAATTTCTCGTCAAATTTGGCGTAAAACTCCAAATTTTGACGTGCGATGCAGGTCACTCGTGTTGTTTTCCAACGCTCGATTCGAATAACGCCAGCTGAATTTTCGTGTCACATAAAAATTATTTAGACTCAGGTGCTGGTGAAGAGCCAAGAATTAATTTATAAGACGAAAAGAGGACCAAAGGGCTACAAGTTACGCTATAATATCCACTAACACCACCAGCAACTTCACAACCAGCTCATGCGATAACTTTTCATGACACTGACCAACGGTACTGACGTTCTACACCTAGCTGGCAATCAGCTCTAGAACATCTCAGATGCGCACTGCTATTTGTTACTGCTGATTATTTGTCCCTCTCAATTGTCTTGGTCAAAGTACTGCACTGTAGCACTAAGGCGTTCCATTCTTTACAATTCATGTTCGCTTAACTTCCCCTCCAAATGATCTTGGAATCTTTAGAGCCACTCAAGTTGTGTGGTATGCTGCTATGCGTCCTTGAATTGTGGTTTGACCGTTTTGTCTGATGGTCTTGCCAGTACTGTCATCGACATGCTATGCGTCCATGAATTGTGGTTTGACCGTTTTGTCTGATGGTCTTGCCAGTACTGTCATCGACATGCTATGCGTCCTTGAATTGTGGTTTGACCGTTTGGTCCGATGGTCTTGCCAGTATTGTCATCGACATGCTATGCGTCCTTGAATTGTGCTTTGACCGTTTTATCTGATGGTCTTGCCAGTATTGTCATAGACATGCTATGCGTCCTTGAATTGTGGTTTGACCGTTTTGTCCGATGGTCTTGCCAGTATTGTCATCGACATGCTATGCATCCTTGAATTGTGGTTTGACCGTTTTGTCTGATGGTCTTGCCAGTATTGTCATCGACATGCTATGCGTTTTTGAATTGTGGTTTGACCGTTTTGTCCGATGGTCTTGCCAGTATTGTCATCGGCATGCTATGCGTCCTTGAATTGTGGTTTGACCGTTTTATCTGATGGTCTTGCCAGTATTGTCATAGACATGCTATGCGTCCTTGAATTGTGGTTTGACCGTTTTGTCCGATGGTCTTGCCAGTATTGTCATCAACATGCTATGCGTCCTTGAATTGTGGTTTGACCGTTTTATCTGATGGTCTTGCCAGTATTGTCATCGACATGCTATGCGTCCTTGAATTGTGGTTTGACCGTTTTATCTGATGGCCTTGCCAGTATTGTCATCGACATGCTATGCGTCCTTGAATTGTGGTTTGACCGTTTTATCTGATGGTCTTGCCAGTATTGTCATTGACATGCTATGCGTCCTTGAATTGTGGTTTGACCGTTTTATCTGATGGTCTTGCCAGTATTGTCACCGACATGCTATGCGTCCTTGAATTGTGGTTTGACTGTTTTATCTGATGGTCTTGCCAGTATCATCATCGACATGCATGTACATCCGCCAACGTCCTTCACAGCTGAGACTTTCGTCTTGTGCTTGTCTTGGTTGCGCTCACCTTCCCCTCCTATGTTATTTCTAATCTCGAACCTTCCAAGCTGGAAGGCTGTTGGAGTGTGCATCTGAGATGTGCTAGAGCTGTTAGCCAGTTAGTTGTAGAACGTCAGTACCGTCGGTCAGTGTCGTGCAATGTTATCGGATGAGTTGATTGTTTAGTAACTGGTCGAGGTTAGTGGACCCTACAGTTCGTTGATCCTCATTTCTTTAATCAAAAAATAATGTGCAGCTTTAAAGGGGAAGTTCACCCTACAATCTAAAGTTCAGAACTTGTATCGAAAAATCCACTGATTCCAATTGCGAAAGTCCGAGGTTGATCTAAGCAACCGTTCTGGAGTTATAGCATCTGGAGGTTTAGACTAAATTCGATGATGTTAAGATGACATCATACTTTATGACGTCATTGAGATAAACTGATTTTTCAAAATTTGATATGGGATACAAGTATAATATATCCCATATGACATGTATGACACCTTATGACATACATGTACATGTTTGTCAGTATGACACCTTACTGGTATCTAAACTTGAAATATATCCCCCAGAAAGCTTGTTGCAGCAAAGAAAAACGACAGATATTGGCAAATGGCAATTCACCATCTATTCCCTTACAAAATCTATCTCTGTGACGTCACAGGGATGGGCAAATTATGACGTCATCATGATGTCACAGAATTTTGCCAAAACGTGAAGGTGCTATAACTCCGGAACGGTTGCTCCAACCAACGTGGGACTTTCACCATTGGAATCAGTGCATCGTTCGCTACAGGTTGTGAAGTTGTGATTTTAGGGTGAACTTCCCCTTTAAAACGTCTCTGTTGTCTAGCATTGAACGCTGTGCACCTGTTCTTCTTCGTCGTTTTTCGTGTTCTTTCAGGTGTCGGTCAACGGCTTTATGTCACTTAACCGTTTCTCCGGTGGCTACAATCTCAATGCGCGTGTCACTGAGCATGCTGCCATCATTGCACCCTACTGGACGGAACAGCGTCATAGCAACGACTCATGCCCAAGCGGCACAGTGCAAGTTCACTATGTCAACAGCACAGATGTTAATGGAAATTTGTCTGCGATAATAGCTGCTGTGGAAGCTCAGTTCAAGCCCCAAGCAGTATTCAGGCCCAGGGAGGCAGTCATTGCAACCTGGAGGGATATCCGTGACCAAAACAACAAGGTAATTACTAACAGACTTTTTCAGCTCCGTAGTGTTTGACAGCCCAGCCGGCAACAGGCCGGTCTGGAAGTAGGACAGTGGTATTAGTGTGAATAGTGGCAGTGTAGGGTAGCATAGGGTAGCGTAGTGTAGGGGTGTAAGCAGTCAAAATCAGGGAGAATCTCTTCGCCATGGGCGAGCTCGCAGGAGAGCCTGCGATGAAACTGCTCTGCTCCCTCCCGGGCATAGAGCAGACTCTGCTCAGCGTGCTGCAGACCCTGACGTCTCATATCAGCGAGTCGAGGGATCGTGAGGGTCGTCTCCATCAGCGTGTGGACGATCTCTCCACGCATCTCCTAGCCCTACGTGAGGAATTTTGTTCACTGCAGAAATCCGCCATTGTTGTTCCCGACAAGGCCCCTGCACGATCTACTCAGCACCAAGTCCAAGGCGACAAATCTCGTACCCGTACGAAACCTCGTAACCGTCCTCCCCAGCAGGGCCAGCCTGACCCAGCTGCAGCAGCAAACCAGCTCGACCCAGCCGATGCAGATGCTGGACAACAGTCAGGGCAGATCGACGTGGCCTCTGGCTCTGCACAGCACGAAACCCGTACCCGTACGGACGACCCCGGCTTTGTCGATCCTGAGCCTGTGCAATCAGACTGCGAGAAGAGCCACCCTATCATGGCCGTCATCAAGGATGACAGTTGGAAATTAGTTGCGGCGGGCCCGCCAAGAAAGAAGCGATCTGTGTTCTTTGTGGGCAACTTGAGCCACGACTGCACAGTGGACAGTCTCACTGAGTTTGTACACCGTAGGTCGGAAAGCGTAGGGACGCCTGTCAAAGCCCACCAATGCAGCCTACATACAGCCGGAAACGGGCAAGTGTCAGCCAGGATATCGGTTGATGCCACCTCCAAGCTGACAGTGACGACCGCCAATTTCTGGCCAAGGCCACTCTACTGCAGGCCGTGGAGATTCCACACCTCCACAAATGCGAATGCAGCCAACAGCACCAGCAGCAGCAAGAGCAGCCGCCACAACAAGAACAACAACAGCACCAGCAGCAGCACCAGCAGTCGCCGCAGCAGCACCAGTAGTCACCGCAGCAGCACCAGCAGTCGCCGCAGCAGCAGCAGCAGCACCAGTAGTCACCGCAGCAGCACCAGCAGTCGCCGCAGCAGCAGTAGCGACAGTAGCACCAACCAGCTGGAAGCACAGCAGCATGATCAAGAGCAACAGCAACTTGGGATTGCCGCCACGATAAATGACTTCCTGAGCGCGAGTCGTGGCCTGTCCGCTGCCGCTGCCGGCACACCTGTAGCCACGCCACACAGCCACAAACGTTCTTCTGCCGAGCGGTCACCTGATTCGCTGTCGCATGATGCGAAGCGTCCTGCCCAGCCTGGTGCGCAGCCACTCCGGCAGGATAACCAATCCTCACAATGATGGCTCCAACACGTGCACGGCAACCACCTAGAATGCTCCGCCTCATGCTGACAAATGCTTTCGGTATCTTGTCAAAACTTGGGGAGTTCCAAGCTTCTCTCAATGCCCACCACCCAGACATTGTCATCGTCACGGAGACAAAAGTCACGGAGGACAAGGCCACGCCTGCTGACCTCACATTCCCTGGATACTTCCCACCAGTTCGAAGGGACCGTACGGCCCAGGGGGGCGGTGTTGCTGTCTGGATTCGGGCCGACCTGGCTTTCACAGAACTAGAATATATTGATACTGGTGGAAATGAAATCCTGTGGGTTCGCCTCAAGACAGCAGCTGGCCCATCCATTGGAGTATGTGCTGTGTATCGCTCAGGTTCATCCGCTGATGGAGACATCTCTGCCCTAAACAGCATCAGCTCTGGCATAGATGATGCTAGGCAATGCTGCCAGAATATCATCGTTGCAGGTGACCTAAATGTACACAACCGGGAATGGCTAGGCAGCAGTAGAACTTCCCCTGCTGGTGAAGCTGCTTAAGATCTGTGTTACCACCATTGCCTCGATCAGCATGTCCATGAGCCAACACGTGGTAATAATATCCTCGACCTCATAATGTCAGATATCCCTGGAAGCGTCATCTCAACTCTCCATCCACCTCTAGGGAAATCTGACCACGCAGTTGTGGTAACTGACTTTGAAGTTGCCCCCTCCTGTGACCGTCCCAGTAAGCGAACCGTGTGGCGCTACCAGCATGCTGACTGGCCTCGGCTACGGGCTTTCTTTCGGTCCACAAACTGGGTGTTGACTGATGACAACAGCATTGACGTCTCTTGTGTGAAACTCACACAGAAGATCAAAGAGGGCATGCAGATATTCATCCCATCCAAAACCCTGAAGCTACGCCAGGGAGACCCAGCCTGGTGGTCACCTGAGTGCCAGGAAGCTGTTGACAGGAAGCAACGTGCCTGGCGACGTCACCGATCTTCGCCCAACAATGCACACCTGCGGCTGGCCTACTCTATGGCAACAGGTGAAGCAACAAACTGTCTGCACAGAGCCAAGCAAGCGCACACTACCAGTATCCGCCGAAAGATAAGAGAAGGTGCCCTTTCCAGCCGACAATGGTGGACAACCGTCAAGCGAGCAGGTGGGCAAGGACACCGCTCTGCAGACATACCTGTTCTGCGTGCGTCGAACGGAACTGAGCACACCACCTGCAGCGAAAAGGCCGAAGCATTCGGGCAGTATTTCTCCGCAAAGTGCAGTCTTGGTGACAACGACTTGCAAGCCAACAGCCTCCCTCCAGTCCGCCCCCGATCTCAAGCCCAACTCCGCAATGTCCACTTTCGGCCAAGCACGGTTGAGCGGAAGCTGAGGCAACTCCACCCCGCCAAAGCCACGGGTCCAGATGGCATCCCCGGGCGTGTACTCCGGCAATGCAGCAAAGAGCTGGCTGCACCAGTGTCGCGGCTCTTTTCGCAGGCCTTCCACCAAGGTCGGCAACCTACAATGTGGAAGACGGCAATGGTTGTGCCGGTGCACAAGAAAAAATCCAAGTCTGATGTTAAGAACTACCGCCCGATCTCCCTCCTCTCTATTCTGTCAAAAGTCATGGAGGCCATTATTAACCACTCAATCCGACAGTTCCTGGAGGCACACAACATCTTATCGAAAAGTCAGTATGGCTTCCGCAGCCAACTCGGCACCCAGGACATACTCACGCTACTCAACTACCAATGGAGTCGCGTTGCAGCCAGAGGTGGTGTAGTTCGAGTCATTGCAGTTGATGTGGCTGGCGCATTCGACCGCGTCTCTCATGTAGGCGTTTTGCACAAGGCACAATGCTATGGTGTAACTGGTCCACTTCTCGCTTGGCTGAGGGATTACCTGACTGATCGTCACTTGAGGGTTGCAGTTGGAGGTGAACTTTCCAGTCCGTACCCGACCAAAGCTGGCGTGCCGCAGGGCAGTATCCTTGGCCCCACCCTGTTCATCCTCTACACCAATGATGGCGAGGACCACCTCCCACCAGGTATGGAGCTAGCAGCCTACGCTGACGACACCACTCTCTTCCACTGCCTCACATCAAGAGCTGACATTGACTGTGGCTCCGAGCTCCTCCAGCAGGGCATTGATGCGTTTTCCCATTGGGGACATAAGTGGAGGATCAAATTTGAGCCCTCCAAGACGCAGGCTATGTCTATAGGCCACCATCGCCAGCCCTGGGAGCTCCCTCGAGCAACATTTGACGGCACACCGGTCAGTGAAGAGAGTCGGCTGAAACTCCTGGGAGTCACCTTTGACGACACCCTGAGCTACTCCTTCCACCTCCGCTCCCTAGCTTCCCGTGCTAACCAGCGGATTGGCTTCCTGAAGCGAGCGTCTCCCATTCTGGACGCCGAGAGCCGCCAACGCGTCTACAACGGCTTTGTGCGACCCACACTCGAGTATTGCCCCTTAGTGTGGATGGGCTCACCCTCGTCCCATCTTAAGAAGCTGGACCAGATCCAGCGAAGGGCCCTCCACATCATCGGAGCAGGTACTTGGCTCCCTAGCCTGGCACTCCGTCGCCTGGTAGCTGCACTTGCCTATACCTACAAGCTCTGCTATCTAGATGCATCCAGCCCTCTGAAGCAGATGCTGCCTAAACCAGCCACTCACCGTGCCCCCGAGACAAGACCTACCCGTCAGTCTCTCCAGCTGCAGGATTCCCATCCATACCAGATGACAACTGGCCTGCCTGCCAACACCCGGAATAGCTGTCTCCAAGGATTCCCTGCTTGCACCGTTGCAACATGGAATGCCCTGCCACCAGACCTGTTCCACCACCCACCCGCCCAGCCTCACATGCAAAGCTTTAAGAAAAAGGTGTACCGTCACCTTCTTGCTCAGGACTGGCTCTCTGCTACTGATGCACTTTGAATCTGTTCGCCAACGCTTTCCCTGTTCTTATTAGTGTTCAACTGCTTACCTTATAACCCTGCTGTCATCATCACCAATATTCTGATTCTCATGCACATATCCCAGAACCTGCTATCCTTCGCAGTCCCCATCACCAAGAGCACTGTGCTCTTCTATCTCCCAGCTCTCTCTCTCTCTCTCTCTCTCTCTCTCTCTCTCTCTCTCTCTCTCTCTCTCTGTCTCTCTCTCTCTCTCGCCCTCGCTCTCTCGCTCTCTCTCTCTCTCTCTCTCTCTCTCGCTCTCTCTCTCGCTCTCTCTCTCTCTCTCTCTCTCTCTCTCTCTCGCTCTCGCTCTCTCTCGCTCCCAGCTCTCTCTCTCTCTCTCTCTCTCTCTCTCTCTCTCTCGCTCTCTCACTCTCTCTCGCTCTCTCTCTCTCTCTCTCTCACTCACTCTCTCTCTCTCTCTCTCTTTCTCTCTCTCGCTCCCAGCTCTCTCTCTCTCTCTCTCTCTCTCTCTCTCTCTTTCTCTCTCTCTCTCTCTCTCTCTCTCTCTCTCTCTCTCTCTCTCTTCTCTCTCTCTCTCTCTCTCTCTCTCTCTCTCTCTCTCTCTCTCTCTCTCTCTCTCTCTCTCTCTCTCTCTCTCTCTCTCTCTCTCGCTCTCGCTCTCTCTCGCTCCCAGCTCTCTCTCTCTCTCTCTCTCTCTCTCTCTCTCGCTCTCTCACTCTCTCTCGCTCTCTCTCTCTCTCTCTCTCTCTCTCTCTCTCTCTCTCTCTCTCTCTCTCTCTCTCGCTCTCTCTCGCTCCCAGCTCTCTCTCTCTCTCTCTCTCTCTCTCTCTCTCTCTCTCTCTCTCTCTCTTTCTCTCTCTCTCTCTCTCTCTCTCTCTCTCTCTCTCTCTCTCTCTCTCTCTCTCTCTCTCTCTCTCTCTCTCTCTCTCTCTCTCTCTTTCTTTCTTCTCTTCTTCTTCCCCCATCTCCCGATAATTATTAGCCCCCGTTTTCTTTCGACGCGTTTGCTGTGCAGTGAAGCCGAGACCCTAGGTCGGTGGAGCACATCAGACCCCGTCACCACGTCCACGATTCATGCTTGCGATGCTGCACCGCTGCTTTGCATGTCATGATTGGAAGCTGTGGCCTTAGTAAAAAAAAAAAAAAAAAAAAAAAAAAAAAAAAAAAAAAAACACGATCCTGCTGTGTTTCTTGCATTGTGAGAGCACAGAACACACTCCCACATGCACACAAACATGCCCACACTTACATACACACACACACACACACACTCACACACCTTGGTCCTTGGTAACACTGCCATTAAATGGTCACGTGTCCCCTGTGCAGGGGTCGACAGCACTGAGTTCAGCATTGGATCCAGAAACGCCGCTCTACTTCCTGGACAGGAAATTAGCACAGCTATGCAGGTCGAAACCACGGGATGACTTGCAGCAGCAACCGCCGCCGAGACAATGCGCTCTGCAGCAGGGCAGGGCAACCCGCTGTTTCCGAACCGAGTCCGCCGATGCCACAGCCGAGACCGACGCCACTTCAGCAGCCGAGTTGGAGAGACACTTATGCGAAGCTAGCCCGCCAGCACTCAAGAACCATCTCCCGCACGCATTACATAGTCGGCTGCCGGACTGCTCAGATATGGGCTTCCTCCTCTCGGCCAGGCACTTGTGGCGATTCTTGTATTTCTGGTGGGCGAAAGTACGCTGGCAAACATCGCAGAGCACAGAAGTGTCACGCTGAGCCGATCGCGGTACTGGTTGAGCGGAATACGCACTGTGCCATTTCCCACGCTCCTGGGCGAGGTCGTACCATTCCGTGTGGTCGATGTTCACTGCGGAGAGGTCAGCTCTGACAGAGTCTCGCCACCGTTTCCGAGGACCGCAAGCCGGCCTCGGCGGAAGGAGCGCACCAAACAGGAGCTGGCGCGGAGTTCTATCGCCGTCCATCCTAGCTAGATGGCCTAGCCACTCCAGACGGCAGCGAAGAACACGTGTGGTAATATCCACTGGATCTCGACGATTCCAGGCCTCCAGAATGGTCTTCCTGTTGATGTGGAAGTCCCAGGTGTCTCTTCTACCGAGGGCTAAGATTACGGAAATGCAGCGAAGATGGAAGGCGGACAGCGCCGCAAGCTCGCTTTTCAGTGGTACCCAACACTCCTCTCCGTAAAGGAGAAGAGAAGCCACACATGCATCATACACTATTCGCTTCGTTGCCAGTGAAAGATCGCCATCATCAAAGACAGATCGACGCAATGCTCCGAATGCCCTAGATGCTGACGCTATTCGGGACCGAGTGTCCACTGCGGTGCGGCCACCAGTATGGATGATGGAGCCTAGGTAGCGAAAGTCATGCACATTCTCGACGATTTCCCTGCCAACCACCAATGGACGACGATCCTCCGGAGAAATGCCGAAGCCGACCGCCATTACTTTGGTTTTTGATAGGTTGATGGTGAGGCCGAAGCGAGTTGCGACGTCCATGAACCGGCTGAGCGCAAGTGTGGCACCATGGGGAGTTGTAGCAGTAAGTGCCGAATCGTCTGCGAATTGACTGTCACGATGGATGTTGATTGTGTAAGTGCATGTGGGAAATTCTCCGGAAGGCGGGCGTACCTGACAAGCTGGTTACCATTATCAGCTCATTTCATACCTCTATGTCTGCAAACCTGTCGATCCCGGGCATCGAGGCCGAGCCTATTGAGGTGCAAAATGGCCTTCGACAAGGTTGTTGTATGGCCCCAGTATTGTTCAATATATTCATGTGGGCAGTATTCCAGCTGTGGCAGCGTGAGGTTGCGGACATGCCTGAGATTGGACTTCCCGTCTCCTCTAACTCTGGACCGTCTCTCCTTTTCAAACGCCAGAAGACTGACACAATCAACTCACACACACACACACACACACACACACACACACACACACACACACACACACACTCACACACACACACACACACACACACACACACACACACTCACACACACACACTCACACACACACATACACACACACACACACACACACACACACACACATAAGCACATATTATGCACACACATACAAACATGAGCACACATACACACATCCACACACGGGGAAAACAGACATGGAGAGGTTAGCCGAGATACTGTTTTGCAGCGACACTGTGTTGAGATTTACTGGACTCGTGTTGGAGACATTTGTCATAATTGTACGGCTAAAACCCTTTGGATTGATGTGCAGCAACGATCGCTTGAGCTGCAGGGGGCTTTGCAGCAAGGTAGGTAGAGGCGATGATGTATGCCACACAATGGTCCTAATGAGGTGCTTTGCTCTGCTTAACACCTTCACATTGCAGCTCAACGTGCATATGTATTTGTGAGTGATAAGGTGGAAAGAGTACAAATTCTTATGAGATAATCAGTGAAAGTTATCTTTGAGGCATCTTGCAGCTTCATCCGTAGAAAGTAGTTGAGTGGACATACCCTTACCCAAAGCACTGTATACATTGTTTTATTCGTACCTGGCGATGGCAATATTGCCGAAACGTTGTAAGTAACAGAATTGGTTCGGTTTGCAGTGTTTCGGGAATGGGTGTGTCTCACCAGCTACTTTCTACAGGTAATGATTGACCAGGTTATTGGCACACGCTTTTCGCGAGCCTTCCATTTAGCACAGTGCTGCAAGAGTCAGTAGAGCTCTTCTAGATATTCAGTTTTTTAAGGCTGTATCTGCCAAACCATCTCTGTCTCAAATCTTTGCTACGGGAATGTCCGTTGTCCGCTGATGACCAATATGAAAAAGAACATTACAACTGCTATCCGGTGATGACGGTGTGTCACATGTAGCAGTGCGTCATGCTTATAAGTACCATTTAGTAGTGTGTTTGCTTCGTATACAGCAACGGCATTTTCGCTAGGGGTGAACTCTTCAAGTTAATGTTCCTAGTTCCTTGTTCCGGATGACAACATAAACTGTTCCATGTTATTCCTAGACGAGTGCTTTTGAGAGTACAGGAGTCCAGAATAGTAACTATACACCGTACTACGCAATCAATATTATCATCATGCTTGTTCGTGTTGACATCGCCAAGCAAGCTTGGCTTGCATAAGCCAAATGAACAAAAAAAAAGAGGAACGAGCGAAGCCAATGAGGAGCACACACGCATGCAACTGCAGAATGGGGAAAAAGGAATAAATATGACAATCCAAAAAACACACGAAATGTCAGCTATTTACTTAAATAAATATAACTGGAAACGGCTGACTACAAAAATGTCGACTATACTGTCCTCTTACTACAGTCAATGTTGCGTATAAGGACACTCGTCGGGACATCAGAGAAGTGTCCTTATTCGCAAAGTGCCCTTATACCCAAAGTCTCAGAATGTGTATACAAATAGAATGGGCCTTGCTCTGGGCATGGGAATTCTGTCGCTATTCGCGAATTGTCCTTATATCCGCAGTCGTTATTAGCGAAGTCGACTGTATACTGCGCAATAGTAATATGAAAAACACGTCTCGTCTAGGTACCAATGGAGACTCAAGACAACAAAGGAACTAGCAGCTCAGTCAGTGGCAGAGATAAAAGAAAAGAAAGAGAAAAATGCGAGCAAAGGTCTGGTTCGAGTGCTGGTTGTGAAAGTCAATTTTTTCTTTAGACTTTCCACATTCTTTCCCTGGAACCAGTGAAAAAGAGATATTACAAAAACACGCTCCGGACGTACACTGAGTACAAGTGTATGTTTTCTCAATATCGCATGTTTCCGTGTTTCCTTCCGTGTACAGCGCAATACATTCCAGGCGGCGCTAATCAGTGACGAATGCCAATCGTACGCTGTTATGACATACCCAGACGGCGGTATAACCTGGGCTGGATTCCCATATCCGGTGGTGGCTGCCGGTCAGCCACTGCCAACATCCGGTACAGACCACGTAACCCCCATCAGCGGTGTATACAACTTGACCAACGGCTGCAATGCTAAACTGCGTGCAGAAAAGGAGTGCCGTGCGCAAGTTACAAGCGCAATCTTAATACCATTT